TATTACATCTTAGGTGTGAGTGTAATGTGAATACAGTGATTTATTTTACAGCCGCTCATTTTATTGGCAGACATTTTCAGTGGTAGCTGTGCAACAATACGGTTTCATCTTTTATTACAGAGGCCGTTACCACATCGACTGACTCGACTTACTCTGAAATCAAGATCTCAAAGACTCAGCCATCCACAGCAGAGCTGTCTGGTAGGAAAACAGCAGTAATTAATAAACAGGAGGATTAACTGTGAGCTCCAGTTTGTGTCTGTTATTAAGTAAACAGACAACAGAGGAAGTACTTTTTCCTAAAATAAAGCAGAAATGTGTTTTTTTTGGTCAAACAGAGCTCTGTCATTGAAAACAAAACATCCATCTGAATCAGTAAAAAGAAAAAAAGCAGAACATTTGTTCCAAAATTGTAGCTGTATGTAAATTTTAAAAAGAAGGTCAAAATGTGTGCAACGCATGAACACACCAAACTTTTACAGTAGTACTGGTACACAATTTGTATTTTTTACACCTTAACTTAAGACAAAAAGATGACAATGATGAATATGAGATAAATGATAGACATTACTGCAGCATCAGAGGCTGTCAGTATAAAAAGCAGCTGAAATAAAATTATTAAAGAACAAAAACAAAATTGTAGTTGAGTTGTCACCACACTTTATTCTAAATTTAATGTAAATTTAATTTGACAACATCAGACCCACTCGTTTTTTTAAGTGTCTCATTTACAAGTTTCCCCATTTTTTAAAAAACATTTCGGGTTTCTTTTTTTGTTTATACTGAGGAAATTATAAAGAGACGTAAAAGTTAATTAAAAAATGAGGAAGTGGTTCTGAAGGAGTGGTTCCTTTAAATAAATTAGTTTCTCTGTGTGTGCATGTGTGTTAATGTCGATGCAGTTTCTTTACATTTCTCTGGAACCACTGGTCTGTCTTATTGCAGAAGAGGAACTACGGTGCTGAGCTTGAGGTTGTCTCAAGGAGCAGTTCTCTGCTAAAAGATCATTTGCATAAAATTGGTCAA